TGTCATTGATAAATGATAAAAAATATTGGTCATATGCAATCAAAAACTTAAAATGGCTATAGGAAATACAGAATGAACATAAAGTATAGAAAAGGATACAATTACCAATTTAATTTAAATACTTAATGAATAAACGACATAAAAATCATAAATAGATTCTGTTTTCTTACCATTTTTCTTTGACTGTTAGAGTTTTTCCAATTGAACTAGTGTTTTTTTTTCTTTTTTCCAAGTCCGTCAGAATTTTCTGAATTTTGTAGAGCATACTCATTTGCACCGATTTGGTAGAACAAGTTATATATGTCAATGCTCATTTGTTGTTGTTTTTTTTTTAATGGAGAGCCATGGCCAATAAAATCTGACTCGGACTTATGAATTTTAGATTCTAAAAATGAACTTAATGATTCTTCTGAGCCTGATCCACTACCTCTTGCTACACCAAATTCAATTTCTTTTACTTGTTCTAAATGAGATTTGGAACAAAAACGGTAGAACTCTAGATGGAGTATTTCTTTAAACATATTATGATTCTTATCTTCAACAAACTTTAATTTAAAACGAGGATCAAGCATAATAGCGATTTTTAGATCAACATTATCCTTGTGTTTTTGAAAACTACAGTTAAAATCTTTCTTAAGTTTATCAACGACAGTTTTAATTTCAGTTGCCGTGTCACAAACGTATTCTAGAAACTTTTCCATTGCATAGATAAATGGTATAATCTCTAGTCTACATGTAGTTTCTTTACTCATGTCTTTTGTAGTACTTTCGAAGTGTTTTAATATGCAAATAAGCATTTCAGCAAGTTGCCATTGATTTTCCATCAATTTTATTTGATTTCTGGTAGTGCAATACAACGTAATAGCTTTTTTCTGCTCAATGAACCTCTCAAGCATCTAGTATGTTGAATTCCATCTTGTGGAAACATCTTGAATTATTTTATGCTTTGGCAATTTTAGTTGACTTTGAATTTTCTATAGTTTAGTCACAGCACTAGATGAGTGGTGGAAATGTGCTGCTAATGCCCCAAAAACAGCTATTGCATCACTTGCTGTTCTTTATTCTCTAAAGATCTCTTTCTGAACACAAAATTGTAAACTGTAATGCGATTGAACTGTGTGCTGACAGGTCCAACCATCACTAGTTAAACTTATGAAATCTGGAAACATCTTGAATTATGTTTTACTTTAGCTTATATTTTACTTTGGCTTTTATGGTTTCATGCATCAGTGGAAAGACTTTTGTGGAAATATACTTTCGACTTGGTATTGTATAGTTTGGAGCTAAATTCATTAAAAGTCGGGTAAAACCTTTATCTTCAACAATACAGTCTTATACTTCAACAATACAGTATGGCTGCAAGTCTAAACATATCATTTCTCCAATAAGCTTGGTAATAGCTTGAGCCTTAGGATTGTCAAGTTGCCACAATTCTTTTCTTTGCCAAAACTCCCGCAGTGAGACCTTAAACAAATTCAACGAATTAAAAAAATTACTTAGCAACTTGTAACTAACAATGGCTAGCGACCGATCTAAGTGGCGGATAGAAGTATGTATCATTTCCTCCTGATCAGAACATTTATTATAATATGAAAAGCCTAGGTAAGTTAAGTTAACTTTTTTCTATAGAAAAGATATATTTTTGACAAGACATGCCCCCATCCAGTCTCAAAATCATGAATACTGAATAGTAAATAATTTTATCTACAGTTATCTGAGTTACTTGTGTCGATGCTCATTGAAAAAAGGCAATTGTGTTATTAGACACACCCGAGCTTCCCTGTGATTTCTGTGGCAGTGCTGGTAATGATTTGCATGGATTTATCAGAGCTTGTTCTATCTGAGCATATAGTTCGAGTAGTGCAAAATTGTTTTATAGACTTTTCATTTGAATCTGGTAAAGTTTCGTGGTTAACAGTTTTCTTCAAAGAAAGAATCATGCTATGTATATTGTAATGTACTTTTTTCAGATGGTTTTGTAAATTTGTTGTTGGCATGTTGTGTGCGTCTTTACTTCCTCTAGACAAAATCTTCTTGCAAAGTATGCAGATGGTTTTGCCAATATCTTTATCACTCACTTTAAAATAATTCCATAAGGGATTTTTACTTCGCGATGAGGTAGCCATAATGCACTAATGGATAACTTAAAGTTATAATAACAATTCTGAAAATTAAAATATAAAGTTTAATTAGTTTCTTATCTTTGATAATATTTATTGAAATAAACAATATTTGTATTCGAATTTAAAAAAGTCGTAAATAACCAATTAACCTCTATTTGAAGAGCTGGTGTATTTACTTTTACTAATGATCCAGCGTATAAAATCAAAAACAAACGCAATTGACTTATATTTCAATTGTACTTTTCTGAGTATTAAGACTTAGTAAAACAAAATTTCTAAATAAAAATTGTTTCGTGCGTTAAAATTAACTTATTTGTATAGATTTTTAAAAATTTCGAGAATAGTTAACTCTCTCAACTCTCGTGCGCTATGTTTTTTATTACTTAAAATCCGGAGGTTTTAGTTACATCTAAGTAATTAAAATGAAGATTTATTTCCAGGTTTAATTTTTAATTTTAATTTAATATTAAAAAATATATAATTTAATATAACTCGGATTTTAAAAGTTAATGCTAACTAATAACTAAATGCTAAAAAAATTATTTTCTCATTATTTTACTACCAACTAATGCATTAATAAATTTTATTGCTAAGCTCTAGTGATCATAACTAAATATTACGGTTATGGTATTTAATTATATAAAGTTTACTTATAATGTTACAGTTTAAATCAGCTTATATTGAGTGATTTTAAACAAAATCAGTATGTTTCATTAAGTAACTTTATTTTCTATCCGCTATCGTGCCATTATTGGCCGCCCTACACACAGCCTTGCCACCTCCAAAAGACGTTTCTGAATTTATTTAATCTTTTCAACTGTATAGACCAGAAGCTTATTTAAATTTTTCATTAAGCAGCCGTTATTTAGTTAACAAGAAAAGAAAAAGGGTTGAACGTTCAACTACGTTTTATTTGGAAAACAGACGTCGTTTGAACGTTTAAAAAATGTCTTCTTCAGACAAATGCCAGCTTAGTAATGTCCAAGTATACTGTATAATACAAAAAAATATTTTTAAAAAATTAAAGATTCTAATTTATAGCTTATTCTCTTAAAAAAGTTTAATGCTTAGAAACTTAAAAACATTTTGCCAAAGCCAATGATTTGGCAAAAAGCCTATGGCTTCGGCCAAAGCTTCGGCAAATAATTTGATTATAATGAACAAACTCGTCATACATTTCTTCAAAAAATATGACGAGTTAGCTTATTATAATCAAGAAGCATGTAACTCATATATACCGTTTTTGAAATGAAAATACTGAAGCCAGTCAAACTTGTAAAAAAATCTTGAGTTCTATTAGAATTAGTTTTTTTATAAGAGAATTGTTTTTCTTCAATATTTTCATTTATCGCTTTAATTCGAAGAATGAAATAAAAAACACAATATTAAATAACTTTTGGATGTGTCCTAAAAAAAACTTTGTAGCAATGACACCTAAATTTAATGACTAACTTGTAAATCTAAAATCTAAAATGTTTACAACATTATATTGTTGTTTGAGATGTTTTTAGATTTACATGCTGATACAAATAAATATTATTTTTACTCTATAGAAAACATGCTTAATGATTGTTGATTCTTTTTTTGAGTTTAATGAACCATTAAACCAACCTTCTCCAGGAAAACTAAAATTACCAACTATGATTACATCTTTAAAACCTTTTTGGTTGACAGATTCTCTTGCAATTGTAAATGTATTTTCAATATCTGTCAAATTTGTAAAATGAAAAGGTGTATTATACATCCATTAGGTATTTATCATTGTAAACTAGCGTTTTAACGTAAAACCATTATCAAAAAAATTTATATAAAATAATTTTTTTGTAAATTTATGCTTATACTTCGTTCTTGACGACCATTATATCTATCTTTTTCATATAGCAATCGTGGCGCAGTGGTATCCCACTTGCCTCAGAAATAAAGAATCCGTGGTTCAAATCCCATCTCTGGACAAATCTTGTGACATCGGTTAGGAAGGAGGTTTAAACTTGTAATACCATAGCACATTACTCATCCGCGGTGCTCTGTGATATGACCGTAAGGACTTTTTGGAGCACCTATGTAAAAATAAATAAAAAAAAGAAATAACCATCCAAATTGTAGAGAGAAGTAGGTTTGAGCTATCTTTCAGTAATACTAATTAACATAGGATTAAAAGTTGCAACTGCTAGTTGTCAAGAAATGTGTCATTAAGGTTCATGCATCTTATTTCTTAAATATTACCCATAGATAACACACAATTAGCTTTACTGCCCAACTTTGATTGGTTTCTTTTCAATTTATTTTATTCGAATCAACACTTAAATCATAACAAAGGGATCCGTATCCTTAAAGGCATTATTGAGTTTATTTTGCTCTGTTATTAGTATGGAAGCAGTTAGTTTTTTTTAATGAAATGAGTACTTTGTTTAGAAGATTAGAATCAGCTAAACAAATCAACAATTGACCGGGTTGTCAAAAATTTTATTTCTTAGTTGTCTCACGATTTCAATTTTTGTAAATATTTTCAACACACTCGCTTTGTTTTCAGCTATTTCATGATTTATATTACACTTTATAGAATTCTGACAATCTGTAAGTAATGTTACTTTGTGCTCTTTTTTTACGTTCCTATTGTTCATTTATAGTAGAATAGCTACAATAAGTTAATTGTTTGGCTTTTTTATTTATTTGAAAAATAAAGTATAAAAATTAAGTTTTACATTTCAACAGCATTATAATTTCGCTTTTTAATATCATATTTAAATTGTTTCTTTTTTATTATGGCTACATCTAGTTTTAGTAATGTATTTAGTAATTTGTTAAATTTGTTATTAGGCATCAAATTAAATCGCAAATATATCGATATATCAGATTATATTATTTATGTTTTTTTAGGTTCCACGACAACAACGCCATCCCAAGAAATACCTTTAACATCTCAACAAAATAGTATTGTTATTTTAACTTTTTTTTTTTTTTTTTTTTTTTTTTTTTTTAGTTATAGAAGAAGTTTTTGTTGTTAGTTATTTTTTTTTATCTTGTTTTAATTTGCTATCAGCAGTTTACTTTTCTATCCTGTTTGTTTTTTACAATTTTAAGGAAGTATTTTAAACTTACATATAATGTATTATAACAACAACAAAACAGTTATACTTACATGCAAAAGTTTAATCACAGCCAGAGGCAATATAACATTGTTTTTTTTTATGAACTTAGTTAGCTAGTTGGATATTGGACACATTTCAGTTGGTTAAATTTTCGTTTTTGACGACCTTTTTTTTTTTTTTGTAAAAAACCAGTCGGTACTTTTTAAGAATTCACCCCTTTCATTTTATTTTTAGAATCGTCTCTGATTACAGCAAGGACGTATTAATAGATATAATAAAAACGTATAAATTTATTAAAACGTCCTGATTACAGTTATGGCCAAAAAGATTCAATCACCCAATATTTACAGCAAAAAACTGTGTACTGATTTTTTACAAAAAAATGATTTCAATAAAAAAAAAATACATATACACAAAAACAAATTAAATTAAACAAAAAAAAAAAAAAGGTCACATTGTTAATTAAGTTTCTGTACATTGTATAATCTTTTAAAAGCTTTATTCTGTGCTAATCTGTTAGTTAGTTTAAGTTCTGTTTAGGAATTTAACAGTTTTCAATGGGGTTTAACTGGTTAAACTTCCTAAAATTTGGAAAAAATATTGATTTTATCCTCTTGGACTCATGTCTTGACTATTTTTTCTTTATGGCAAGTTGCTCAGATATGCACGTAAATATCAAACTTTTAACAAAAAACTGATTGGACACTAAATCGGCAGACTTGTGGTAGAAAGTGTAAAACAGCACAACCGTTGGCAAAAATTGCACTTTTTAACAAAAGATAATTTAAAATTTGTGGACACTATCATTCATATCAAGAAACAAGGGAGTTGAGTAAGAACTTGTTTTGAAATTTAAGCTAGAAATCTATGTTCTTTTTACATTATAATGGGACATCTTTCTGTTTATTTTTTAAATATTTTTCTTGGTCTTCTAATTTCTTTAATGGACTTCTACATAACTTTCCTGAATTCATGCTATCTGTTTACTTGATTCAGTCAATATTATTTCTAATAGGAATCCTATAGAACCAAAATCAGTTTGCCTTTGGTAATGGTCTTCATAATATACATATATGATTTGTCTGAAAAATTAAAGTGTGTTTGACATTAAAACTGACTTGATAAAGTCATTAAACTGAAAAAAAAACCTGCAGAGTTATGCATATGATAATGACAAGTATACATAAAAATTATTTAACTGATGTCACAATAATCAACTTATTTACGAATTGGAAAAACCAGATATAGAAAAAGATTTTGTGTGTGTGTGTGTGTGTGTTTAAAGTGATTATAAGTATTATCATCAAGTTATTTATGCAACAGAATGAATAAAATGTAAAAAAAAAACTTTTATAATAATAGATTTAGTGGTATAGGTCAAGATTTTTTTTAGACCTAACCATATTATTTTATTGGTTTTTTGAGTTGTATTATTTAATTTTCTATATAATTATTCTGGATTAATGATATCTTTTGACTTGATGCGGTAAATAATAACATAAAAAAAAGAAATTTTGTAACCACACTTTTAGAATAATAATGATAAAAATTCACATTCACTTTGTTGTAAATAGAGCATAGGAAAACTTTCCATGTTTGATTGTTTCAGCTCACATCTTTTGCATTTGTTGAGTATTTGAATCATTTTGTCTATAACTGTAAATATCGGTTAAAGATTACTTTGAAAGAAATCATAAAGCATAAATGTTTAACTTAATTTACTTTTTTTGTTGTTTAATATATAAATGTATTAAAATATTTGACATCCGTATTTTTACATTAAATTTCATTATAATATTAACAACATATTTAGTAACTAAAAACTTGTAAAAAATGAAATAAAGTTATTTATAAATCTTTGAAAAATAAAATTTTCAGTAAGAGGATTCAATTAACTCCAAAATTAGGAGACTACTCTATTAAAAGCAAAGTAAACAGCTTTCAGGGGTATAACTACAGGGGTGATTGATACTTTTAGATCTGGTTGTTACAAAAATTTAATTTATGGGGTTTCTTTATGGATCTCATTGCAGGTAATATTATTGATCAAAAGGGAATTGTGTGTATTCATAATTAAAAACAATGTACCAGTCTTTTTCTTAAAATAAAGCGAGGCACTCTGACAATACAGTCAAGGCTCATCACAAAGAAGGCCACTCTTTCAGGGCCATTTTTTTTTGTCACCTTCAAGATTTTTAAATAAAACAAATTAATGTTGTAATATATTATTGTAATTGTATTTACTATTCTTTAAATGCTTATAATACATTCTCATGAATATAAAATCTTTTTAAGTTTGTTTGTTAAAAAAATTTCTGGTCTGTTGGTGTGTCTTAAATGAAGGAGATTCAGGAGGGAATTTTATCTACAATAAAAGAAAATAAGTTATTATGAAAAAGAAATTGAAAATAATTGCAGTTAAATATTGCGTACTGCATTTCGCAATATAGTTTTACTTAATAGTTTATAGTTTTATAGATTAACTTTCATACTACAACATTTTACTTTATAAATATCGTATGTTATTTATTTTCTTAAGTTTATACTCTTGGTCACACTTACTCTTGAATATTTCTTTGCATTTACGTTTCATTTATTTAACATTTGTAATTACGTTTTATTATAACATTTACGTAACATTTTAACATTTGCATATACGTTTTATTGTAATATTTTTATTTACATTTCAATGTAGCATTTGCATTATAAACAAGCACATGAAGAACTCCATTCAAAAACCAAACAAAAATCATTTTAAAATATATCCAGTTCTCCAGGTAAAAACAGTATTTTGTTTTCGGTTTTCCAGTTGTTTTACTCTAAATGCTTCTCTGGTTAATATACCAATGCTCGTTTACTTGTATTGTTTCTTTCAAGTCTAAATTAAAAACATTTTAGTTGCAAGTATTTTTTCTATTGATGTATACTTTCTTTCAAGTGTAAAGTTAAAACATTTTTAGTTGTAAAAATGTAATTTTAAAGTATTTTTTCTACAACTACATATTTGTGGTTGAAACATTTGAATAATGTGAAAAAGTAAATCAACATTTTACCACATTAAACTGCTGCTTGAAATATACGTTTTTTCGTTTTGCTTTCTGCTCCTCTGTTGATCATCATCTTTTGGATGTAATGATTTGAAAAAAAAAATCTTTCTGTAAAGCCTTTCTTGTTCTGAACAAGAAATCTAAAGAAAAAAATGTAAATCAAAACAGATTGTAGTATTCCTTTAAATTTTGCAATAGTTTTTTAAATTTTTTTTTCTTGCTTTTTTAAATAGTTGCAGACTGTTGTGCTTGATTGCTGTTTTTAACTTCACACTAACTAATTTCAAAACGTTTTGATTTAATGAATTGAACTCTACCTACTCATTCGGTTTTACCTGCTATTTCTCTCTGTAAGACAGAGATAACATCAGTTTGGTTCATATACCTGTTACTTTTGTCTCACAGACAGAAATAATAGCCGTATGAGATATGTCTACCACTTATCCAGTATCACTAGTTTGTTTTTGTATTTCTTAAATGGGTTACAACAAATTTGGTTTTGGAAAGCATAATTTTCTCTGTAAGTATGCTTTGAATAATAACCGTGCTTGGTTACTTATTTAGGCATCATTGCGTGTGCTTATAAACACTTTTCATTATTAGGCCTATTGCGCCTAACAAAAGGTTCGTTTTTCCAATTTTTTCTATTTTTATTTTTTTTTTTTTGCTATTTTACTGGGTTTTTTTCTACACCACTTTTTTTTCAAATTTCTTATTTAAATATTATTTTGTTTCGTTTCATTACGGGTTTCTATTTGTGTAGCAAGTTGTTGCAGTTTATGATTTTCTTATGAGCTTCTTAATTATTATTGTCAATGTTATCTCATATTTAAATCTATTTCATAATTAAACTGATATGGCTAATGTAAAATGACATATTTAACATAAAATTTAAAGCGGACAAAATAATCAAAGGTTTGCAAACTGATGCAAGAATAGTAGATTTTTTGTACCTTATTTTGGGCATATTGACAAAAAATGTTTTTTACATAAAGACTTATATTTGATATCAGTTATTAGACTATTGTAACAATTTTAACTGACTTTAAAGTCCACCTAACCTTTTTTCAACTTAAATTTCTTAGACAGAACCATAATTAACAAAACTGGAGAAACCAGTTAAAGTTGGTACAACAAGGCTGTGGTTAAACTCAGCACTTCAGACCTACAATGAAATTAATTTATTTCCCATCGCTTTTACGATAAATTTTTTTTTTTCTTCTTTTTTTTTTTTTTTTTAAAAATCATAATTTAGACGTTTTAAAGTCTTTTAGATAGGTATTTAAACTTTTTGTTAAATAACTTAAGTACATTTTAGACAAAACAGATATTATCATTGCTGCAATCTTAGTTCCAGTATCAGTTGCACTTATTATATTTGTTGTCATTGTTGTTGTCTTAAAACTACGAAAAAAAAAGAGAATTAAACATAAGTTATGGAATACAAGTCATTACTCAATGGAGTAAGTATAATTAACTTTTTCTCAGGCAATAACTTCTAATTTTTTCATACATTAACAAACAAGGACAAATAAAAGTTTTTTTGTTGTTGAGCTAACTTTCTGACGTAAAGCAAATTTCAGCAAAAAATCGTATTTTTTTATATAAAAAAAGGGATCCTTTGGATATAATTGTAAATATTGAAACCTGACAGTAATAATCCCAATATACTTTTATCCCATGCCTCAAAATGAAAGCAACAATTTGAAAAACTGTTTTTTAACTATATTCAACTAAATTTATAATTATTATTAAGCGTAATACTTCATAAAAATAATTTATAGCATTCGTATATTAGGACAATTTAAAACTTACAACTTTTTCAAATTAGGGACGATACAAATCCTTAACAAAAGATATGTATAAAAAAGAAATTAGCCCTAGCACCAAAAAAGAATATTATCCTAAATTATAACATGGAGGTATTGAATATATATATATATATATATATATATATATATATATATATATATATATATATATATATATATATATATATATATATATATATATATATATATATATATATATATATACATATATATGTATATATATATATAAATATATATATATATATATATATATACATATATATATATATATATATATATATATATATATATATATATATATATATATATATATATATATATATATATATATATATATTTATGTATATACATATCTATATACATATTTATATATATTTATATATAAATATATATATATATATACATAAAATTAAATAAATATATATATATATATATAAATATATATATATTTATAAATATATATAAATATATATATTATTTATTGATTTATATATATATATATATATATATATATATATATATATATATATATATATATATATATATATATAAATATATATATATATATATAAATATATATATATATATATATATAAATATATATATATATATATATATATATATATATATATATATATATATATATATATATATATATATATATATATATGTTGGGAAAATGCCAACTCTAAAAAAATGCATTTGTGAACAGCACATGTATTTAAATTAAGTACTGTTAATTATTTTATGAAGAAAAGTCTTATCTTCACATTCGTCACTTAAATATGTTGTCTTTTGACATTAAATGGAAAAACTAGACAATTTTTTTGTTTTTGAAAACAATTTTGAAACATTTTGATAAAACTTTGTTAGACTTTGTTGACCATTTTTTCAACAAATGGTGAATAAAATGTCTTTTTTATTTAGAAATTTTTATTATGCTTATAATAAAGCAAAGTTTTTTATTTTAAATAGTTCATTTGTTTATATAAATAGTCATTTATTCTCTAAGACGCCATTGGGCAGTTTAAAAAAAAATGCAGGGCTTCATTTAATCATTTAATGCATTGATTCAATTTCTTGTTGTTTATTTCTTCATTATTTACTGACTGAGTTTTGGTTATTTAATGATAGAAATGTTTCGAAAATTAAATAAAAGAGAGAGTGACAGAAGTTATAGGGATGTCAATAATGTTGTTCTTGTTGCAAATAGACTAATAAAGCCAAATTAAGCTGCTATAACCTTAAATTTATAACGTAATAATTTACATTAAAGAATAAAGAAGTATAAAAGTTTATGATCTAAGACCAAGTTAGGTTTTACAAGATAACATAGAGTCGCAAATGTTAATAATAAAGATGAAGAAATAATGCTGAAAATCTATCTATGGACTATGGGTTGACATATAAACAAGCAAAAGAATTAGCATTTCATTATGCAATGAAACTTTGCAAATATCTAAGTAAAGGGATAGAAAATTAATAAAATGGTATAGAGTGTTTAAAAAGCTTCAGAAAACGTCAACTAGAACTATCAATTCAAAAATTCAAAAAATTTGCTCTTGGAAATATGAAAACAGGTGGAAATTTCATTCCACCTGTTTTCATATTTCCAAGAGCACGGTTTTATGACACCATGATAAAAGAAGAACCTCTTGGATGTAATGGTTATGCAAACAGTTCAAAAAGTGGCCAAATGACAGGGCCAATATTTCAAAGGTTCTAAAACATTTAAAAAAACTAGTCAAATGTTTGAAAAAAGATCCTGTTTTACTCATAATGGATAATCATGAAAGCTATTGTACATTAAATGCCATCAATTATTGTTTTGAAAATGGAACTGGGGTTTTAACGTTTTATACTCACTTTACATACAAAATGCAACCTTTAGATGTGGCAGTTAGTGGACATTTCAAGCAAGCAGTAACAATAAATAATTTAGTTGGCAAAGTGAAACCAGCTTAAACTACACTATATATTGCCAAAAAAATTGCTGCGGATTTTTCCACATTTAAAATATATCTTTTTTCCCGCTATGCTTTCTGCAATAACAACTTTCAAAGTGTTGAAGTAGCTAATCGTCCTCTAACAGAAACATTCAGTAAAGCGACTTCTGATAACTCACATCAAATTCTAAATAAATCTGAAGGCATAGTTATACAAAAAGAATGTTGTAACATTGATAACAATGATGAGTAAACAAATATAAGTAATGCATTACAATTACAGCACACAATAACGCCTGTTATTGTGTGCTGTAATTGTAATTATATATATATATATATATATATATATATATATATATATATATATATATATATATATATATATATATATATATATATATATATATATATATATATATATATATATATATATATATATATATATATATATATATATATATATATATATATATATATATATATATATATATATATATATATATATATATATATATATATATATATATATATATATATATATATATATATATATATATATATATATATATATATATATATATATATGTATATATATATATATATATATATGTATATATATATATATATATATATATATATATATATATATATATATATATATATATATATATATATATATATATATATATATATATATATATATATATATATATATATATGTATATAGACTTGCGACTTGCATGCTAGTCAGAAAGTTTTTCCTGAAATTCCTTTTTAAACTGAAATTTAAAGAGCACGTTAATAAACAAGTCCAGAAAAAGTTTAAAAACTTAATTTTTTTTTTTCCTAAATGATAGACTGCCTGCCCATATCAAACACTTAGTCGATGTAACAGCACTCTCATGCAAGTCAGGCTGTTTGTCAGTCGATTTAGCAGCATTCCGTTGCGAGTCAGCGTAAAAGATAATCGATGTAGCAACACTCCGTTCCAAGTATGCCTCTAAGTGCAAGTATGCCTCTTAAATCGCAGAAAAACCAAAGGAAGGAGGATGTATTAAAAAAAATGATAGGTTCTTTGCTAAAATATGTTAATAAAGGAGATGCTACTTCTGGCAATGACACTTCAATAAACTCTTTCGTTTCTTCAACAAGTCCAGGAATAGTTATACCAGAGCCAGAACCAACGCTGACTGACACTGTGGAACAATGCGGTTGAGCAATGAGTTTTACAAGTGAACCAGTTATTCAAACAGATGCGGAACCAACAGTAGCAGATTTAGGATTAGGAATAAGGAATATTAAGGAGTCTATTTCAAATGATCCTGCTGAATGGGAAGTAAATGCTGATTTCATAGCTTATTATGCAGAGAATATCCCATCACAGAATTTGAAATCTGATTTTAGCTTAAAAGGTAGACAGTTTAGTAAAAAGATTGGATATGTACGCAAGAAATAATTTATAAGAAAACTGGTAAATTGAGAAATTGTCCGCAGGGATTGGCTCATTTATTCGCCCTCAACTGGTAAAATGTTTTGTTATATTTGCAAGATATTTGGTTGCAAAACCGGCAGTGTTGGTACTAATAATGCTCCAAGGAATCAATTTATAACTGGTTTCGATGATTGAAAAAATGTTATTGCTAGGATAACCTCACATGAAAAATCAAAAAATCATTTTGCTGCTGTGTCGATGATAATGCAATACAAAAAGTCTACTCGAATTGATGTTGAACTTCAGACGGAAAATTAGAAGTCTTGCAAGCACTGAACTGAAGTCTTGAAGAGGATTGTTGTTGTAGTGATAAAGTTTCTTGCTGAAAGGGGATTACTTTTTCGTGGTGACAATCAATTGCATAACTCTCCTAACAATGGAAATTATCTTGGTTGTATTGATCTGTTGGTTGAATTTGATCCATTTCTAAGAGAACACATTCAAAGTTATGGAAATTCAGGAAAAGAAAATGTATCATATCTTTTAGCAAACATATGCGATGAATTCATTATTATATTAGGAGGCAAAGTTTTGAAGCAAATAATTTCTGAAATGAAGGATGCTAAATATTATGGAATTAGCATCGATTCCACCCCTGATATCAGTCAGGTAGATCAGCTCACTCTTGTTATTCGCTATGAACTCAAAAGCGGAAATGTAATAAAGCAATTTCTTCAATTTATTCCAATTGAACATCATGATGGAAAATGCATATTTAATCTTGTGTTTGGTATTCTTTAGTTTCATGAAATAAACATCAAAAATTGCCGATCACAATCTTATGATAATGCCAGCAATATGAGTAAAATATATTCTGGTGTTCAAGCTAGATTCAGAGAGATTATTCATTTAGCAGAATGGGTTCCATATGCTGCCCACAGCCTAACTATAGTTGCTTCAGCTGCCGTGTAGTGTTGTTCAGCAGCTGTAAATTATTTTGGTGTCATACAGTCAGTTTATAATTTTTTGTCAGCTTCAACGAAGAGATGGTCAACTCTTAAAGAACTTCTCAAAGAAAACGTATTTGTTTACAAAGCTTATCAGAAACTAAGTGGTTCTCTAGAAGTGATGCACAAGAGCTTTCTATGCAAATTACTTACAAATTCGTCAAGCATTATGTGAAGTCACTAACAGCAAACATCAACCACCAGCAGCAGTTCATGAAGCGAAATCACTGGTTTAGCATATAGACT